AAAATGCGTGCTAAAGGAATAACAGGAAAAGTCGGTCGGTGGATCTATAATTTCCTCACTAACAGAACACAGAGAGTAGTCGTCAACAGAGTAAAGTCCGAGGCAGCTACGGTGAAAAGCTCTGTTCCACAAGGCACAGTACTCGCTCCCATCTTGTTCCTCATCCTCATATCCGACATAGACAAGGATGTCAGCCACAGCACTGTGCCTTCCTTTGCAGATGACACCCGAATCTGCATGACAGTGTCTTCCATTGCAGACACTGCAAAGCTCCAGGCGGACATCAACCAAATCTTTCAGTGGGCTGCAGAAAACAATATGAAGTTCAACGATGAGAAATTTCAATTACTCAGATATGGTAAACATGAGGAAATTAAATCGTCATCAGAGTACAAAACAAATTCTGGCCACAAAATAGAGCGAAACACAAACGTCAAATACCTGGGAGTGATCATGTCGGAGGATCTCACCTTCAAGGACCATAACATTGTATCAATCGCATCTGCTATAAAAATGACAGGATGGATAATGAGAACCTTCAAAACTAGGGAGGCAAAGCCCATGATGACACTCTTCAGGTCACTTGTTCTATCTAGGCTGGAATATTGCTGCACACTAACAGCACCTTTCAAGGCAGGTGAAATTGCCGACCTAGAAAATGTACAGAGAACTTTCACGGCGCGCATAACGGAGATAAAACACCTCAATTATTGGGAGCGCTTGAGGTTCCTAAACCTGTATTCCCTGGAACGCAGGAGGGAGAGATACATGATTATATACACCTGGAAAATCCTAGAGGGACTAGTACCGAACTTGCACACGAAAATCACTCACTACGAAAGCGAAAGACTTGGCAGACGATGCACCATCCCCCCAATGAAAAGCAGGGGTGTCACTAGCACGTTAAGAGACCATACAATAAGTGTCAGGGGCCCAAGACTGTTCAACTGCCTCCCAGCACACATAAGGGGGATTACCAACAGACCCCTGGCAGTCTTCAAGCTGGCACTGGACAAGCACCTAAAGTCAGTTCCGGATCAGCCGGGCTGTGGCTCGTACGTTGGTTTGCGTGCAGCCAGCAGCAACAGCCTGGTTGATCAGGCTCTGATCCACCAGGAGGCCTGGTCACAGACCGGGCCGCGGGGGCGTTGACCCCCGGAACTCTCTCCAGGTAAACTCCAGAACAAATTTTGGGCTCTTGGAACCCAACACGTACTGGGGACAACTGGGAGAGCAACACTTGGAGTCCTCCCCGATTGCCCCTAAGGCCACGAATATACCATTGTAAAAAAGACTATGTTCAGAAATAAAATTGGCAACAATAATAAACGATAAAACCTTTAAGCTATTAGGATCTGTTAAGTCAACATCTAGGGGGTAACATTATAATCATGGAGTGCTAAACCCATAGGATTATACAGAACATTTGGGGGGGGGGGATGGAAGGTATTCAGACTCAATTCGGGGAACAGGAGCACAGATCCAGTTCCTTAGATCAAGAGCCCCCTCACCAACATCAAGGAACCTCCCTTGATGGGGTGGGGTTAACAGTAAACGTGTAAGCAAGGAAGAATGTGAATGTTGCTGAGGAATAGATGGTTGCGAGGGTCGTGAAACAGAAGGGGTAGAGGGAGTCCCAGTGTCCATCGGAGGCGTTGTCCCCCACAACATAGCTGGAAATAGCATCTAACATCTCAGTCATTATGGAAGCCGACGATGCCATGTCAGACAGGAGAGGCATTGCAAGGAAAGGTCGGAGGAACTACAGATGCAACCAAAGAGGTCTAAGGGGGGGGGGCAGGGAGTATGAACCTAGAGAGATGCGTTGGCTGGGGTAGAAGAGGCCTGCAGTGTAACAGGAGAGGAAGGAGGTTGGAGGGTAACTAAAGTACCCCAAGTTCTTGCTTCACTGAATAATTAGAAATTTGTACCACTCATCTACAATTGTGAGACCAATACAGTACTTCCCTATACACTTTCTAAATCTAATTATTATTATAATCAAAGAAAGTGCTACATAGACAAGGGTCATTCCTAAATCTAAAGTTGTCCATCATCTATTGTTGCGAGTCACATCTGGGTTAGGTATTTTTTAGCATGTTATTTATACATCATCCATTCTAGTTTTTCATTTGTACACCTCAATCATTCTCCCTCATTCTAGACCTTTCAAGAGTGCAAATTCAGTGCCTTCAGCTTATCTTTGAAGGAAAGGTTTTTGAAACGTGTGATCAACTTCATCCTTCTTTGTATATTTTCCTACACTACAATGTCCAATCTGTAATATGGAGGCCATAACTGAGCAGCATAATTCAGATGTAACAAATAAAGTTGGGAGGATCTTGTATACAGAAAGATAGGTTGGTAACTCCCTAGGTATGTTAACATTTAGTACATTCACCGAGAAGTTCCCAATGTGTACTCTCATGCCATGATACTGGAATTTTTCAAGCTTTACAAACTGAAGCAACTCGTGCAATAATTTTGCAAACTGCATAACAGTATTTACTGTTATGTAGGCATTTATGTTTCTTGCATTATTAGTTATAGGTGTGTGCGCTAAATTGTAAGAGGTCATACAGTGCCTGGGGAAATATTTATTTATTTATTTATTTATAATTTGAGCACACTTACAGAGGTACAAAAAAAATACAGATAAGAGCAGCATCCCAAAGCCACTTATACTATGCATAGCATTACGGGCTGGCTTAAAATTAACTTAAGATTAACTAAGCAATGATGAAATCAGTGAAAAACATTAATGTAAACTGATTACTATAAAGCACAAGTGAGTATTACAAAGACAGGTCATATGGTTGCATGCATTGTTATAAATTCAGTAGAATGGAGTATTCTGTTAGGTAGTGTATTTAAAAAATAATAAAGTTAGATTGGGTTTTAGGTTAAAAATTTATGTGATATAATTGTGAAAAACATTTAAGATAACAATTTTATAAGGTTCAGTTAATTCAGTATTTATTTGGTTTTGGGTGAGTAAGTGATCTTGAGAAGAGACTTGAATTAATAAACAGGTAGTGTTTCTTTTATATTTACAGGTAAATGAATTCCAGATTTTAGGGCCTTTTATGTGCATTGAGTTTTTGCATAGCGGAATGGACACGAGGAATATCAAAGAGTGATCTGTGCCCTTTTGTTTATGGTCCCTGTGTTTTTGTTGAGGGTTGGCAAGGAGATGTTTTAGGGAGGGTTAATATCAAGTTGAGTGTTCTATGTATGTAATAGGTGCAGTAATAAGTATGGATGTTTTGTATGGTGAGTAGGTTGATGTATTGAATATTGGTGGAGTGTGCTGCCTGTAGTGAGAATTTGTTATCATTCTAACGCAGCCTTTTGTTGGGTAATTAGGTCTGAGATGGTTACTTGTTGTTGAGCCCCATGCACAAATTCCATAGTGAATAGGGGTAAATAAGAGAGTGATATAGGGCCAGGAGGGCTGACTGTGGAGCATAGTACCGTATCTTCGATAGTATGCCTACATCTTGGAAATTTTCTTAGAAATTTGTTGTATATGTGTATGAAATTTGAGTCTATTATCAAGGTGGATTCCTAAGAATTTCCCTCTGTTAGCTTTGTGATAGGTAAATCCGTTTATCATTATGTTAAGAGGGACATCTGTAGCTCTGTTACCAAACTGAATGAAGTAGGTTTTGTCAATGTTTAGTGTAAGTTTGTTAGTACTCATCCAGGTAGATATTTTCTGTAATTCGGTATTTACAGTATTGGCTAGCGTGACTGGGCTCGGGTGGGAGAAGACGTATGTTGTGTCATCAGCAAATAGTGTGGGTTTGAGTAATGAGAAGCATTTGGTAGGTCATTTATGTATAGGAGAAAGAGAAGAGGGCCAAGGACACTTCCCTGTGGGACACCAACTAATTGGTTGTGCAGAAGAGTTTGCCCCATTTGCGTACACATATTGGCTTCTGTTGCTGAGGTATGACTTGAGGTAGTTGAGGGAGTGCCCTCTTATACCATAGTGTGACAATTTTATGTGGAGCAAGTCATGGTCAACTGTATCAAAAGCTTTACGTAAGTCAATGAAGATCCCCAGTGGGACTTCTTTTTTCTCTATTGCAGTGTATATATGTTCTAGCATGTGTATAATAGCATCATTAGTATTTTTATTAGGCCTGAATCCAAATTCAGGTTCGACCCAAGGAACAGAAAGGCAGATCCTAGTCTTTTAAATCATGAGTGCCTCACTGGCATCAAAGACCCTCAGCTAAGGATGAAAGTTTCTTACAGAGACTCAACATTTTGTTGCAACCTTGTGATAGAGGTCATAATATAGTTTTCTGAGGGATGCAGTCTCCCAGTTGGACATCTTTTCTGAACTATAATTTTGTATGGCATTACTGTAGCTAGCCAATGTAACGTACTTGCCAAGTAAGTGTTGTATTCTCTTATTAGCCAATAGAATCTTTTCAATTCTTGCTAGCCGGAGATATTATAGTCTTTCAAAATTTTCTCAGGCCTTTTTTCCAGGCTTCCAATATGTCCAGGTAATCTGATAAAGACAGGGTTTGATACATGTTGCTTAGAGGTAGGGTGACCTGAAAAAGAATAAAACACTTTCACCATTATTCATTTCATCACTACCTTGCCAGAGGTATGCCATTACTACAGTTCTGAACTACAAGTGCCCCTACCCCTCCTTCAGAGTGCAGGCACTGTACTTCCCACCTTCAGACTCAATTCTGGTTAACTGGTTTCCCTGAAGGGTAGGAAGTACAGTGCTTGCACTCTGAAGTAGGGGTGGAGATATTTGCAGTTCTGAGCTGTAGTATCAGTGAGCCTCTGGCAAGACAGTGATGGAGCAAGTGATGGTGAATTTTTCTTCTTTTACAGGTCCCACTACTTTGGTGGAGATGGCTGGTGTGTTAAAAATGAGTACATAAAGTGCTGTGAAGTAGCCCAGGTAGTAAAGTATCACAAAAACATTGCCACAGGACTAATTTGTTTTGCAAAATTAAAATCACTGATAAATCTGTTCTTGATTTTAATTTCCATAATAAACTACATGACAAGATGCATAAAATTAAACCAAAAAATAAAGTAGGCCAATATAAAATTAAATCTAAAAAACCAAGTAGGCTAATATCTTCAAATTAAAAAAAAATAAATAAAAACCCACAACTGAATGGACCATGAGATAATACTGTACTATAAATGCAAAGTTTAAGGAAAAGTTATGCAAATATTAATTACTGTATAATTATGGAATTTAATTTATATCAAAATACTTATAACTAAAACCTGTTAATTTAAAAAAAAAAAAAAAAAAAAAAAAAAAAAATTCAAAGGCAAAGCACTCATAACCAAGAAAATTAACTAATAGCGAGCTCTTAAAGCTACTCTATATAGCGATTTTGTGAAAACAGATGAACAGAATATTGAATTCTTTAATCTAGATACACAAGCTAAGCCTTTATCACAGTGTATTCAAGAATTCACAAAGAAAACATGATCTATTGAAACTTCTCATGTTATAACACCTTATAATATTTTCCATTAATAGTATTTCTGAGTTTCTGTGTAAATTCATATACATAACCAAAATAAAAAATGATCTTATAATAAGACTTAAAAATACAGTAAAAACTGAATTATTTAAAGCACATTTAGAAGACTGACAAATGAAATAAACATGGGTAACAAATTTTATTTTTAAAATTAATCACCTTTTTTAAAAGTTTTATCAATCAATGCCTTTTAATAGGAAAGCTTAACCGACTCAAATTCATGCTTATGAAATTGCACATGGCAATTCCAGGTCATTTTGATAATAAACACAAGAACCACGTTTGTCAAAAAGATAGCACAGTGTATTCATTGCATCCATAAGAAGAGGACATGGCTGTTTCATATACTTACACAAAAGTTTAATTAAAACACGTACCACCTTCATATCTCTATCAGAGTAGTTGCCTTTGATGAAGATGTTTTCCTTGGCAATCTGATACTCATCCTGAAATTTTTCTATTTTCTTACTGATGAGCTTGTAGTTGTATGGTGCAGCATTTTTTCCTACATTTTTACCATAGTTAATACAGCACTTAAAGCACACTTGAGTGAATGAGTCTATTGCTTCGTGACAGTTCGTGCATTTAAGAAGTGGTAATGGTGAGACATCACTGAGAGGTTGCCAGGAGTGTTCACAGGCCTCACATTTGCACTGGAAGTGGTACCGAGTCATCAAAGAAACCAACCTGGAAGCTCTGCTTTTATCAGTAAAGATTTCCCCATACGAGATGGTTAATTGCTTGCCAGCAGGGATGAAGTGCACTGCTCTCACAACCTCAGTCTTACCATAGAAAAATGCTGAACAGTTTGGATTGCAGGAGTGATTCATTAGACTTGATGCAGAGTAAATTCCACTACCATACATCTTCCCATGATGTAATTGAGAAATGCTCACATTAACCTAATAACAGAATTAAAGAAACAGGAAATATACTGAGAATATACAATTGATATTCCTGCAATTATGAAGAAACTATACATAATTATATATTAAGAAAAGGGGTAAAAACACAATGCCAGCATTGTAAATCCACATGCATTTTGTATTATTATTATTATAATCAAAAAGCGCTAAGCCACAAGCATTATACAGCGCTGCAGGGTAGGGAAGGAAGCAAGGGTATTGGGCGGCAGAAGGGGGGAGGGATGATCAGTAGGCTACAGAAAACAGCGGGGCAGGGGATAGTGCGGGGGTAGAGGGTAGCAAAAGATTGAGGTAGAAAGGGCTGAAGGTATCAGAGTTTGTGAAGTAATTCAGTTGTCAAAAAGTCAATGAGAGTGTCCTGATGGACCCACCTTTCATCTATGAGAAGGGAAGGTAAAGAGCAGCGGAGCGAAGACGACGACGGAGGTAAATTCTGCGTGCTCGTTGATAAAGTGGGCACTGACAATGTGGCTGACTGATAATGGAACCTGAATTCTCAGAGGAGCAGGGCGCCTCTCCATGAGATATCCATGAGCAAGACGAGTATGGTCAATGCGAAGACGGGAGAGAGTAGTCTCCCAACCTCAACACTGGTGAGAAGATGGCCAGTAACCTATACTCTGTTTAATAGATTGAAGTTTGTTACCGAACAGAGTAGACCAACGCTGTTGCCAACGGGTGTGAAGGTGGGTAGCTATTGCAGCAAAATAGTCCGTAAATGGAGTACCTCTATATGAAACTGGTAGGTCATGTACTGCTGACCGCGAAGCAGTGTCTGCCTGTTCATTGCCCTGTATGTCACCATGACCAGGGACCCAACAAAAAACTATCTTTATGCTTGGTAAAGATGCGGAGTAGCCAAAGTTGGATACGGAGGACTAAGGGATGAGGTGTATCAAATTTCTGTATAGCCTGTAAAGCACTAAGGAAGTCTGAGACAACCACAAATGATGACACAGGCATAGATGCAATACGGATAAGTGCTGCAAGAATGGCATACAATTCAACAGTAAAAATACTAGCCGAAGATAGTAAATGCCCTCGTACAACGCTGTCCGGAAACACTGCTGCAAATCCTACGCCATCAGAAGACTTAGTCATCTGCTTACACTGCAATGGCACGAGTGGAAGTGGTCAAGAAAAAGAGCGGGAAGCGACCATAGACAGTTGGGCTTTCGAGCAAGGGGGAGAGAGAAAGAACAGACTCGAACAGCTGGAACTTCCCAGGGGGGTAGGGAAAAGCGAGATGCTACATGAACATAGAAAGGTGGTAATTGAGGAGAAGACGAGAGTGAATGTAGGCGAAGAGAGAAGGGACGGAGTAAACAGGGGTGTCAAACAAAGAATGTCTACTAATATCAGTGACCATTCTATAAATGGAAGGATTGCGGAGATCATGAGAGCGTACATAGTAGCGAAGGCAATGGGCATCACGGCGATTGGATAAGGATGGAACATTCGCTTCTGCAGAGGGGCTCTCAACAGGGGAAGAGCAAAAAGCACCAAGGCATAAACGTAATCCTTGGTGATGAATGGGGTTAAGGCTAGAGAGAGTAGCAGGAGAGGCCGCTGAATAGATCTGGTCACCATAATCAAGTTTCGATAAAATGAGGGTGGAATGTAGGCAAAGGAGAGTTCGATGATCAGCTCCCCATGAAAGACTAGCAAGGGTTTTAAGAAGGTTCAGCCGGCTGTGACAAGTTGCCTTCAGAGAGGTAATGCGAGGTTTCCAGGATAACCTACAGTCAAAGAGAAGGCCCAGAAACCTGACTATCACGTTCAGGGATACGGGAGCCATAGAGGTACAAAGGATGATGGGAGACGACACACCATCTAGTGAAAGTAATTTGGAGAGTTTTGGTACTGGAAAATTTAAACCCACGTGTGGTGGCCCAATTAGAAACACGGTCGACTGCATGCTGGAGAGAAACTGTAATTAGGTGACAGTCAGTGCCTGCACAGGTAATAGTGAAGTCATCAACAGAGTGATGACCAAATATTTAATGGAAGACTAGAGGCCAAATCATTTATAGCAAGCAGAAAAAGTGTTGTGCTCAGAACACATCCCTGGGGGACACCTTCAGCTTGGATAAAGTCCGGGGAGAGCACATTATTGACCCGAACAAGGAAATGTCTGTCAGTTAAAAAGTTCTTAAGGAAGGATGGTAGATTGCCTCGGAGGCCTAAGGAGTGGGCTTGGGCCAAAATATTATACCTCCAAGTTGTTTCATATGCCTTCAAGGTCAAAAAATATGGCAATAACTGAGTGGTTATTCGCAAAGGCATTACGAACATACGTATCGAAGCATAGTAAGGGGTCTATGGTAGAACGTCCCTTACGAAAGCCATATTGACGAGTGGAGAGACTGTTGTGTGTTTCTAAATACCACACTAAACGTCTATTTACCAGGCGTTCCATCACTTTGCAAACTGCACTGGTAAGAGCAATGGGACGATAGTGGGAGGCTTCATGTCCCGTAGTGCCCGGTTTGCAGAAAGGGAGAAGAAGCATGGAAGGGGACAGAAGAGGCAGAAACCTGGGAGGTGGCAGAAGAGGAAGTAACTTGGGAGGGAACAGAGGAGGAAGGTACAGTACGAGGAGGGTGAACCTCTACACTTGTAACAGCCAGTGAGGGGAAGAACCAGGTATAGAGACAGGGAAGGTAAAATGAGGTGGAAGGGAAGGAGGGGTTAAAGGACCTTTTTTTGACTTCTGAGAAGTAGAGGGACGATTGGGAGGTGGTGTCGTACGAGATCTCGTCGATACCGAGGCTTGCGAGGGAGAACAAGAAGCGAGAACAGACTGAGGTGTTGAAGTAGGGACGTCTGAGCCCAGGACAGCAACAGAATTAGATACAGGAGTGACTATGGGAGAGGTAATCACAGAGGAGGCTGCAGAAGATGGGACCCCAGAAGTGGGGGGACGTTTTGAAACACGAGAATAAGAAACGTGAGGTAGTCTCCCTTGGAGGCGGAGATGAGAAACTGCCATGGCATAATGGAGACCTTCTGCCTCTGAGGTAACAGATTTCCTGCTCATTTAAGTAGACTTGGCAACGGCGAGAGTACGAAGGGTGAGCCTCATGACAATTAAGGCAAGAGGGAGGTCAATTGCAAGACATTAGAATGGTCATCGGCACCACAGACTGGGCATTCGGCTATAGATCTGCAATATTTCGCTGGATGGCCAAATCGCCAGCAATTTCTATACTCTTGTGGTGTAGGGATCACCTTTTGAACTTGTAACCGATGTCCTGCTACATAAACTGATGATGGGAGTTCACGGCTGTCAAAAGTTAAATGAGCCACATTTCCAGGGTATCGTCTCTGCCCGTGGGCAGGAAGAACATAAGTGTCTACCTCGAGGATTGGGAGATCTTGGAGTTCCAGCTGTTCAAGAATGTCATTGCCACACGTCTGGAAATTTTGTTGAACTATGGTATGGGGCAGAATGACGGTACCACTACAAGAATTGAGGGAATGATGTTTTTCAATAGTGACAGGAACAGTATCGATATGGGAAACAGAAGAAAGATCATGAGCTTGGGTAGCATTCTGTACAGTGATGATGCACGTACCGCTCTTAAGAGCATGAAAAGAAATATCTTTACCAACATGGCATAGGAGTGCCTTGCCAATACTATCGTCAGAAAGATAGGCAACAGAGGAAGTCGGTCGTAAAGTGAAGAATTTAGTCCATTGTGCATTCTGAAACTGAGCATGGAAACGGAGTGCAGGACATGTCGATCTTTTCTGAGAAGAACAAGAAGGTGGAGAAGTATCATCAGCAGGTAATTGTCGTTGGCATTTAGGAGTGGGACCAGAGTTGGTCCGACGTGGAACGGACCGGCAATTTGAAAATTGCCGCACCTTAGAGGGAGAGGCCGGAAGCATAGTCAAAGGAGAGCGGAGGTCAGATAAATCGAAGGAGTCAGTCGAGACCTCAGTACCTGAAGTGGGTGAGGAAACAGCACTGGCAAGAGGTACAGAGGCTTTAGGAGTGTCCGAAGAGTGGTCCAAAGACGAGGCGGGGTCAGAACGGGGTGCGGTATCAAGAAGGGGCCCAGGGGTAGCAGGTTCATGGACTAGGGCATCCATGGTTAGGTTACTTCTTTCTTTTTGTTTTTAAGAAAAAAAAAAATAATATAAAAAAAAGGGGGGGGGGACCAGGGAGGGATAGTTCCTAGGAGGAATGAAAGGGCCAGAAATCTCCCTCCGCACCCAAGAGGACCTCAGCACCACAAGTAGTGCAGATGCAGCATGGAACCCGTGCCATACCCTACCCATCATGCCAGTAAACCAGCAATCTGGGATAGCAACCTCACATCTGCCGAGCTACCTTGGTGGACAAAAGAGAGGGTGGCTGGATATCTGCCACAAAGCATACCTCCTTTGGCCACCACCCCGGAATCCGAAAGGCAGCCTCCAGAGATACACCCGTCGCCCGAAAGATACCCAAAACCACTCCCCAGGAGACCGGAGAGGGATTGGGACATCCCCAGGCAATCCAGATTCCACGGCAAACTACACCACCGCCAAGAACCTCAACGGAATGGGATGGACCCCGGTACCCTTTCCCCTACCCAGGAACTAGCGTGCCTGTGGAGAAAAAAAAAAAAAAGGGTAATAGGGAGGGGTGGGGGGTAGGAGGAGGAGGAAAAAAAGAAGGGAGGATGGGATAAGGGAGGGGGGATTGGGGGGTAATTAGGTTCGGTCTGAGGAAGGAGACCAACAGGTCTAATTCCTCAGACCAAGAGCCTCTTCACCACAACAAGGAGCCTCCCTTAAAGAGGTTTTATTTTGTAAAATAGCAATCATAATAAATAAATCTTTAATGATACAGCTCTAGTCTTGAAGCATAGTATAAATAAGTAGTCTAACAAATTTAATTTTTGTCAGTACAAAATCTAAATTAACCATTAAAAAATCACTATCAATTACTAATCATGTGCATAATTTTTCACTACTATACTTCC